CCACCTCGACCAGAAAATTTTAATATGTTCAAAATTAAAACCTACTGTAACAGTTGTTGTATAACCACATTGTTTTTTTTTTTTTATTATGTCTTTGTCCTGTAGGTCTTGTAAGGCAGTCTCAGGTTGACAGACTGATGTATGATACACTATAATAGGGATAACCTAGCAATCTGGTCTCGATTTGTTCTTATACAATCTCGTGGTAAGATAAAGGGATGGCCGCCAAATTCCTTGGTTTTTAACCATCGGTTGAGTAACTGCTACACCTCAAGATAACGAGATGGGACGTAGGTATATTTACAGGGGGGTAAAATAGGAATAGTTCCTTTTAAGGCCGGAGTTTGGAGCGGGAAGCTCGGCAGGGGGCCAGCTTTAGCCGAAATAAAAAACGTTAAGCGTATGTTAACAATCGAGACCAGATACTATTCAATGTATAATCAATAGAGATGGAATAATAAGGCATCCTGCCCAAAAGCTGTCTATTCAAATTATGTATAGCTGTTAAACATCTGTAATATGACTGAATCAAGAAAATATCTGGGATACACCACTTCTTTTTTTTAATTATAAATTCCAGTTTTATTAGACACTTTTTCAAATACACTGAGTGGCCAGTTTATTATGACCACCTGATGTTTGTAGGCAAATTAGCTATAATTAGCTATAATTTCGCGCTGAAGTTGCTAGAGGGCCAGACCATTATAACAGCCTTTGAACGTGGGATGATTGTTGGCGCAAGCCATGGAGCGAGTATCAGCAAAACAGCAGAATTTGTTAAATGTTCAAGAGGGGGCTCATTGTTAAAGTGTTTACAGACTGAACTGTCAGCCGAAAATCTGGGTCTGAACGCGCGAATTGTGGCCATCAGCGACTAGTCAATGTTAGGGCAGAACGGAGAGTGGCAAGACTGATACAAGACAACAGAAGGGCAACAGTGCAGTGTCGGATTCCTCGCCTCACCTTTCAACATCTCGTGGAGTCACGAGGCGGACCAACGAAGTCATCTCGTGGAATTATCTCGTGGCCCAACGAAGTACTGATGGGGTGTCATAATAATCTGGCCACTCAGTGTATATAAACATACAAAAATAAGAAAATGGCAAGGCAACAATAACACAGGATGGAGTCGTTTACAACTTAATGAAACTGAATTAAAATTAGAATTAGAAGGGCAGTCAGTGAACACTATAACTAGGAGTACACGCAGGGCGGCGTGCAGCACGTTTAAAGTCAGTATACTATCACATCAAGAAGCATCAGATAACCAAATGACACCAAAAGACAAATCGCTATTCACGCAAACAGGAAAATAAATCTAAAAAGAAAGAGTCAGGAACAGCAGACAAACATCCATGGCATAAAGGCACAAAGACAAGGGGACCAGGTAGAGGGATATAGGAGGAAGGAAAGGATTAAGGACCAGCGAGGACAGGGGAACGCCCTCTCCCCGGGTCACATGGCATCAAACTCCCCGCAGTTGGCCATATTGTTCAGATTCTAAGAACTCCGACCAATAAAACCACGTGGCCGAGAACCTATGCTCAGTACCCTTCAGAGAGCTGGTTAGATCTGGGCGGGATCTGGACGTTCTTTATGGGCATGTTCCACAGAGTGTACAGTCACCATGGTGACTGTCTGAGCACCAATGTTCCCCTCGACCATAAGTAGCCTGCCTTCCTCTCCGGCAAACACATCCAACAGAGGCCACAGGACAGACTGAGATAGGATGATGCAAACCACTCGTGACTTCTTGCCCGGAGAGTAACTATGATACGCCGTGGGTTAGCGGCGCTCCTGGAGCACAGGGGCCCTAGAAGTCGGGAAGTGTTTCCTGGAGAAACCCCATCTGGGCCTGTTGCGGGTGTAGCTCAGTTAAAATCATTCTGCGCTTCTCCGGAACGTTTAAG